TTCCAACCCCTGACGTTCTGTGATGCTGTGTAAACAAAGCGTACATTTCTCCTCTCATCCCACAGCCAAGACAGACCCCCTGGTTAGAAACATTGGCGTTAAGGTCATAACTTTGTTTCGAGCAGGAGCATGTATGTCATTAAACAAGTACTATGGAATTCTGAAATACACTTAAGTTTCAGCAAAGTAAAATGCCTGAGCAGAAGGAAAAAAGAAAAAAAAAAAAAAAAAAAAAAGAGGACTATCAGTTTCCATTTGCCACACACATTTTTACAGCGCCTCAAAAAGTCCCACAGGAAATCATATTTTTCATGGATGGATGGACCAGGAGATCCCCCAAAGTATTTTTGTAATATAGTATCACCAACACCTTAGGATACAGAAAAAACTTACTAAAATGACCTTGAAGGTAAGAGAGGAATGGGAGATCTCTGGAAAAAGTCCAGTTATCCCCAGCACAGCCACCCCCTTGAGAACAGGGCACTGAAATGAGGACTAACCTCTACAGATGGCTCCCCTCCATCACCCCCCCACCCTCCCAAATCTATTAACTTTTCACAAATTCACAGCTTCTGTTAGCACTTTGAGAGTTAAAGCACCCATGTAGGATTAACCAGGGCATTTAGCCTCTGACGCCATCTCCCATCAGCCTGCTTCTGCTCCTCTTCCAAACTCGTGGTCCAGAATTCATTTCCATAGGAAGAAAGTTATATTTCAAAGCCAAAAAAAAAAAATCACTGCATGATGGAAGTGAACGGAAAGCCCTCTGGGGAAAAAGCAGGCTCTTATTTGGGAGGGAGCTACTGACAGCCGGATAAAACACTGACAATGAGCAGCAAAATTCATGGCTTTGTTTATGATCATTTGTCTTTTCCTTGTTCATTCTACCGTGAAACTGCCTCTTCATAACAGAATTCTGTTACACAGCAAGGCTGCTATTAAAAATAAAATAAAAAAATTATTCTTCCCACTTCTCCTCAATGAACTGCACATTAAATTAGTTATTCCATCAATATTTTTTTTTTCTTTAGACATTGTTAGGACTGCATACTCAGTGGAGGTTATACTGTATTCTCCTCGCCTCAGATCAAACTCCAAAAATAAAGTTGCTGTATTCAAAGTTGAGCAAATGCTAACACAGATAATACGCTCCCCCCACACACACCATTTTGCACCTGCCCACACCCAGTTAAGACTGTTAACTCTGATGGCTGTGTACATAAAGTGACTGGGTAAGGCAAGTCCCAGAGGTTCCCTGGCACCGTTTCAGCACATCAGGGAAATCCCACAGGAGCGGAGAGACAGAGAACTTCTAGCAAGGAGAGGCTCAGCTCAATCGGCAGGCAAATTTCTTCTGTGTCACTGGGAATGTGGTGACTCCTGCTAGGGCTTAATGGTGATTGCTGAAGCCAGCACAGAGACCTGAAGGGATCAGCTGCTACTGCTTTAGTAAAAAGCACAGAAATCCAAGGACATGCAAGACTCGGGTATCCAAAAATGAAAGGTAACCAGCAAGACTGGGTGCTTCCAAAACCCCCATCAGACAGACAGAATGGCTGGCTGATGCATTCCTTGTGCTGCTGTAAACTGACAGTGCAAAGTGTTGCCCTGCAAGCGTGCTGCAAATAGAGCTGGGTTTTCCAGTCCTGGAACGGGATGGGAAAAAAACACCAACAAAAATAAAATAATAATTTTAAAAATCGAGGCTTCTATGAATCCAAATTCCAAAAAAGTGAAGAAAGTCACTTGAGTAAAGCCATGCTTCCCGTAACATTTTACTCAGCAAACCAAAACCAAACCTCCACTCTCCCCAAACCTACAGCAAGAACGTGAAGTTACAAGTAGAGAAATGCAAACGCTCCCTGGGAAAGGAGAAGACACCACCGATTTGCATCAAGCACCTGCAACAAAACTTACTACTCTTTCTGCTGGGATTAAGTTTCCACTGCTGAGCTTCACCAGTGTATCTGGTTGTGGCCTTTTGGTCTTCTCCTTTTTTTAAAGCTAAATTCTGCTTAGTCTGTTTGCTGGACTGTTAGCATGGTTACAATCAGTGGGAGTAACTGGCTTTACTAGCGCTGAATTACAGATTTGCCCATGCCTGCCTCAGTAGAAGCAGTGTGTTCTATATTTTGGACTAACTATAAATTCCCTCTGGATAAGAACTAGATTACAGGAAATCTTCAGCTTTCCTTACAGCTAACAGGAATGGAAAAGCTTAAATACTGTCAATGTCCTAAGCTCAATAAGGTTTCACTGCAGCTTTTCTGCATATTAAGCATACCATTCAAGCTGATGAAAAATCAGCATCAGTCTTTTAAGCCAAAGTTCTGGGTTTTTTTGAAAAAGAATGAATGGCATTTGGGGAAAAAAACCAAAAACAACCAAACAACAACCAAACAGACATCTTCTTGCACTTGCTCAGCCTCTCTCAGAGCTGTTCAGCTCAATGTAGTTCAAGGCCTTACAAATTTTTAGGAAAAATATGCTGGTACAGCCCAGTCGCATTTGATGCGCCACTCCAGAACTCTAAAAGCATGCCAAGGTAGCACGCTACTTTCAGCACTATTTGCAAGGAAAATATAGTAAAAAAGACACAGTCCCCATCCTCTGTTGCCAATAGCCTTTCCTCTCACTGCCTCACTTCCCTGGCCTCTCTGTGTGCGGGCCAATTCAATTTTATACTGCACTAGACTCTCCCAGGCACAGCTTGAGCAGGTCACCCTCTGAGATGACAAGCAAACAGCATTTCTTTGTAAACAACCCGGGGAAAAAAGAACATAAGCGTGTGCTTAGGCAGGCCCACTCTCTCCCATGCAGCTCAAGAGCAGCTTATTTCCTTTTGCGGCCTCTCCCTGAATTGGCGCTGATGTCCTGTACGCCCTCCCCGCCCACTCCCGTTCTTCAAGGGATAACCGCAAACGTACCTGTAAGGTGCTGGTTAAAAAGTTGTCCTGGGAGACAATGTCCACAAAAAAATCGGCTGGAATTTCACTGAGCTGGTGATATAGCACAGAAATCAGATTGATGTAAAGGTCTTGATACTTCCCTATGGCATCTTCAGATCGGCACAGGATGTTTAAGAGTCTTTTCCAGTGCTCAAATGCGTCGTATACATTCCCGATCAGGAAGCAGATGAAAGCAAACTGCAACTCAGCTGTGCATGTTCAGCAAAGGGAAACAAAACAAACCACATGTAAGACTAAAAACCTATCCAAGGTACGTGTCCTCTCAAGAACTCCGCAAACGATTGCATAAAGCTCTGGGTCTGCCTTTTGCCCACGCATTCTGCCCTGCCAGTGCTTCTGCTAACGGCAATCAATACTCCAAACATGGGCTATTTACTAATGCTCTGCTCTTCAGCTGGAGAAAGAGCAGAGCACAATCAGGCAGGTCCACCTGTAACTATAATTATCATCTTCTTCGGAGAGTGACTTTACGAGCAGAGTAAACAGCCACTTTCAGCCACCTAAGGACTTCCACTGTCATCCGTGCTCTCAAAAAGCCACCCAAAGAAGAAGTCAGACATTGCTGCTGTTCCACAAGCATTCAGTCTGCCTGTGCTGGGGTTTCCAGAGCCCCGCAGGAGTGCAAATGCTATGGCCCTTGAGTGGGAACATTGGGAGAAGTGAGCAGTACATTAACAGACGTTTTTCCCTGGTTGAATTGCGAGAGTTTGTCTCACTGGACGCTTAGCATCAGCTCTTTTGCCAGAATGATGGCATCACCATTTCCTAGTAATTTGTTCTCTGGGTATCCTAGAGTTGTCTCTAATAACTTTGATAAAGAATAAATTGTGTAACGTTACTGTAGAAAAAAATGGAAAAAGGGAAAACCAAAGGCTTGTTCCAAACCTCAGTAGCCTGGAGGCTCCAGCTCAGCTAGGTTGCCAAGCCCTACCTCCATCCTGCCACAACACGAAACCACACTCCGGGACCTCCACAGATTTGATATTTACTCATATAACAAGTTGTCAAAAAACGCTGGCAAGTAATTGAGACCCTGCGACCTGGAGCCGCAGCCCTCGCTGTGGATGTCTGCAGCACCGGGGCTGGCGAACCCCAAACCCTGCCACGGAGGGTCGCCAGCAGCACACGGCAGAGCTGCCACCGCTCCAGACCAGCTGCTGGGAGACCCGGTACCGCTTCTACCGCTGAAACCGGAACAAGACTCTGAAAATGATGATGTTCAGCCCCATTCAATGCTCCCAAGGACTCCATAAGCTCTGTCCTCAAAAGGTTCACCC